ATTCTTATAGGAGTTTCTCGAACAATGTTACAATACTAATGACAGGCGCTATAAACTGACTGAACACACTCCTCTGAAACTCAAGAAGTGCACAGTATTACGTTCTTCAGCCTGATTATAATCAAGGTATTCATCAAACTGATGTGCAGTTGTCCAGAACATAAACAGAACAAATATAAAGTGCGAGTGTGCATTTTCAGGTAATAAATTGCGGCAACTTTCAATTACGCATTAGATATTTGTGATCACAATTTATTAGCGCCATACAAAAATATGAGTCATTTCTCTCTTTTCTTAATTTGTTCAGGTTTTGAAAAATGAAGTGCCAGCCACAAGAAAGGAGTGTTCGAAGCTATGTGTCTTGTGCCAGCGTCATCATGCCCCGTTCGTCTGCCCATCGCAGATCACAGCTTCGATGGCAAAACATGAAAAGAAGCTGATGTCGCCTGACACCCCTTGGCTGTTGCTGCTGGCCCCTACAGCGAAAATTCATTGACGTCTTCTTTTTTGTGGTTGGACTTTGAGGTCATGCAGCGTTTCTGGCATTTTATTGTGAAAGCAGGCTTTTGAGTGCATACCTAATCTGCTCAGAAATTCGCGAGATGGGCAAGTGAAGTAGAGAGAAAGGGTCATTTATTCAATGAAAGTGATAACTGTTGCGCAGATCATAACTTTCCTCGAAGATTTCCTGAAACAAATATTTAAACCCGCGTGAACACTTGCGGAATAAGAAAGATAAATCTATAATTCCGCAGCACAGGTGACATGCTCGGTGGTCATCGATATCGTACACTTTGTCGAAAATCGCATTATGGACCATAAGCTGCAGGCGTTTGATCACAAATGATGAGACCTGTACAATATGTACAATCGTTTTCTTTTTTCCTTCGTGGTTAAAGAAGTAGTGACAGAATTATGAGGCACCACAAAATGACCATCATTTCGTTTACTTCGTGTGTACTATCAATGCTCTCCACATACCTGAGCCGCTCAAGATGTATAAAATATTTTAGTTTGATTAAAGTTTTCATCGCCCGGCATCTGCAAGCAAGCCCCATCACAATGGACATTAATGCGATGAGTCAGCACAGCTACTTGAGTTTGCTAAATTTGCGTCCTACATGCATGCAAATTGCAGAAAGCACTGTCAAAGTCTTTGGACTGTAATTCCCTCATCATTACTAACGTGAACCCCGTGTTTATAGCAGCAACGGGCAGCAGCTGCTAGCATGTAGCGAGTTAGTTTTTCCGTGACGTCAGACCTGCTTTGACACGTCACTACATGTGAAGTCAGCCTCTCGATACCGAAACTGAAATTGCTGTTTTAAGCTCGTGGAATTTAAAATATATGCAATGCATTCCCAAGTACCATGACACTCTTTTTGGGGTTCTCAACAACCAAGTTTTTTATTTAGGGCAGCACCCGGAAAATATTTAAAATTCGTGTGAAAACTTCTCCAAGAGAATTCCCTAGAGATTGAGCACGTAATGCTCATGTTTAACTGAATGGTAAGAACGCGATGATCCCGATAGTCAGAAGAGAGCGTTTATATTTTTAATTCCTGTTCTAGCATTTTGTTCACTCCTCTATGAATTTCACAAAATCATTTTGCGGTTATAACGCGGATATCACACACGTAGCGGCGCATCAAGTGGATATAATCAACGAGAAGACAATATTGTGGAATGGCACATACGTTAAACAACTTTAGGTTGACGTTACACAGACGATACTTATTGATTAAACGTACTGGAGTAATCTATCTATTGATAATGCCAGGTAATTATACTGAGTGTATCTGTTCTTTCTTGCACAAACGTGTGCAAGGCAAGATGACGCAAAAGGTGTCAGATGTTACTACCGTTAGAAATAGTTGCAACTTTCTCTTATCCGGGATGCTGATTACCCGGGAGACAGTACAAAATAAATAAAGAGCATTTCACCTTTTTTTTTTTGGTTACTTATCAGCAATTGATTCTGCTCGACAAGCTAGCTACCCCTCAGCTTATCAGAAAAGCGCTTGCACATGGAATTTTACCTCATTTGAAAGCTAACTAGATGAAGGCAAAATTTTAGAGAGCCATGTACTGTGTGACATCAGTGCACGTTAAATGACGCCACGTCGTCCAAACTTTCGCAGCCGTCGACTACGGGGTGCCTTATAGCTATGTCGTCATTCTGGCATGAAAATCGCCAGCTGTTGTTGTTCTTGTTGTTGTTGTGGTGGTGGTGGTGGTGGTTAAAGCTAACTACATTGTATACTCTTATTGAAGTCCAAGTATTAAAATGTACTTATTTTTTGAGAAACCAACGAAATGAATTAACTTCGGATAATAAGATCCCAAAATGTCAGGCTGGTCTTGTCACACTGTCACAGCATACGTTATCGCAGCGTCTTCGGGTCTTCAAAATGCGACATGGGTCTCCCCACATTCCAACAATTAATAATAATTAATTAAGATCTCGGGTTTGACGTCCGAAACCCCTGATGGGGGCACCGTATTGAAGGGTTGCGAAAATTCCTCTGATCTGCGGTACTTTTACCGTGCACGGATATCATACAGCCCACTCGCCTCTAGCACTACGCTCCGTAGAAATGCGGCCGCCGAGGGTTGAACAAACGACTTCGGGGTCAGCCGCCAAGCACTGTAATCGAGACAACACTTCGGGAGATACACAGCCTAAGAGATATTGCAATTAGTTCAATAAATGTGGTCAGCAAGTAGTGTTGCAGCCGTTACACACTTCGTTTTTGTCTGTTGCTCCAAGGACCAGCGAATACATGCGTGATCCGGACCCTCACTACCCATTGGTACAAGCCTGGGCCAGACCACCCCTTCAAGAAAGTACGACTAGTATCAACTCTTCAGGTGAGTGTTCATGTCTCCGACTTCAAACCTACCAGTCCGTTCTACATTTAGCTCCAGAGGAGCGCATTTGTCCGTACTTCATACGGGGTCTAAAATAGTTCGACGTGTGAAAAGAATAGCAGATGAACTTAGTTAACAGCGAAATGCGCGAAGCGTCATTCAGTGTATTCTAACCGAGGACCTTCTTGAATTTTTAATTATTTGGTCTTTTCTTATTATTCATCTCGAACAAGCCACACACACACACGCACACACAAAGAACAGTTTAACTGTCCCTTTAGAGGAGTTCCTCGGGACTTCTGCCATCTACGATGCAACTTTCCAAAACACATCTGCATTCTTCACGCAATCTTATCTTATGTTTTACTTACCAAAATTCTACTTTATGTATTTCCTTTGAAAATGTCCTCACTTCAACGTTACATCAAGTGAAAGCACGAAAGATAACGTTATTTTTTATATATATAGACAAGCAGTTATCTGTTTTGCTATTTCTAAACACTGCTAGGTGAGCTCGCAATCAACCGTTTTTTTGCGAGCAACTGTATACCGCATAGTGCAGTCATGACATGACGCCAAGACTAGGTGTTAGTATGTTTACCTCTGGAAACTTTAGTGCATGCGATAACAGCGTTTTGCTAATGTCAATGTTGTAAACTTATTAAAAAGTGCACGTATGTTTGTCACACAAGCGCTGCCATGCACGTGCCTCTGTGCATAATTTTTTTTTCACTCCATGAACAATGCTCCCTCCAGATAACACCAAAGCGACTTACAACTTAAGGGCTTCGTTCATTGAGCAGCCTGTTTTTTTACCCAGCATCACCGCCTGGCACCTAGCATCACACGTTATGAACAGACGAGGAACCTTAAAACACCGCTTTCTCGGGGTGTACGCAATCGCGCTGAGACGTAATCGACAACATTTGCCGTGTCGAGCATTCGACTCTACTGAAGCTGAGCCATCAGAGGAGCTATCACCAATCTTTTTTCAGCTCACCCTTCGACCAAAACTTGTCTTGCGAGGTAGGAAGATAAGTGAAATAACCAGGTATAGCTTACTCCGTACAAATTACACTGCATATTCAGACTTCTTTAAGACCGTGCGCCCCCTTATTGAAAGTTCATACAAAAATATTAAAAAAAGCTCAGGCAGTATGTATCAACTCTCGTACCTAAAGGCCAGTGTCAGTCAGATAGGACTACACACTTTGAAAGATTATGGACGTACGTAGCAGGTCGTAAGCGAAATATTGTCGACAAGTTCCAGCGACTTACCTCACTCTGTAGGCTCTTCCCGGCTCACCTGGCTGCGTCACTTGGTCCGTCGAAGTTGCCCAGCACGTATAGCGACTGTCGCAAGTTTCTGCACACCGGCCTGTGGGACACACACACACACTTCACCGTAAAGGGCACGTCGTGTTCTCGGGCGACAGACGGAATGGCGTATGGCGTCGTTGGGTGACGCACGAAATGGCGCAGCAACGGCGTTACAACGAGTCCTCAAAGAGTCGCACGTGTACACGCTACACATGGGCACAGACACACACAGGCTGCGTCGCGAGAACGTGGCATGCGGAGAGAGCCCATTCGAACGTGCTCGCGTGCTTCACGACCGCGCCGAAGAGCGACGACGACGCGGCGCGAACGGAGAAAGAAAGGGAGCGCAGCCATAAACATAACGTTCGAACACTTTTCGAATATTTGCAGCGCAGCGGCGGCCGGCCCGTGGTTGGGAGATAGCACCTTCACCGCTCCGGTTTTCTTGTTTTCTTTTTGGCCGTCTCGTTCTTTGTGTCTCATCCCTTTCCCGTATCTTGGTCGTCACACTGCGCTCATACACACGGCGAGGCTGCTGCCGCCCTTGGCGCCGAGCGTATACTCATAAAGCGGGGACATTAAGCGTCCCGGCTCGAGACGCGCTGGCGAGCCATCATTGTCTCTCCATTTAGGGCCCATCGTCTGCAGGAGGCGGCTGGCGCAGACGTAGACCGGGACGACGCACGCGGATTGCAGACGCAGGGATCATTGCGAACACGCCACCAACCCCATGAACACGACGGAGGCTCCTCTGAGGGTACACGTGCAGTGTCCGTGCTTCGTGGAGTTGCTGCGTGCCCCGGGGTCTATGAAGTCCCTAATCCTGGAGTTCCTGAATCCCGTAGCACCTGATGTATGCCATCCTGGAGACCATGCAAGGGGCCAGGAAGCCTCCCAATCCAGGACACACTACGTTCTTCTGTACGTATGGAACCACTCAATCACAAGCACTTGAATGTCAGACTGATGAAGATGTGTTCAAGGTTGACAAGTTTCCTGTGGATGACAATTTAGTGCAAACAAAGTGTACAGTGGCGCAAATGTCAAGTTCTTAGGCGTCCGTATGTCGAAACTAATGCAGCATATTGTTTGAAAGCGGTACTCGTTTCCGTGATCGTAAATAGTTTATGTACCATAAACACTGTCTACAATGTTTCCACGTACATCGAATGTAAGTTAAATTGCGGGTATACATGAATATCAGAGACAAGAAATTCCGGCCATCCTTCTGGGTGTTGTAGCTAGTCACACGTTGCCTGCCTGAGTGTAATATGCGTGGAACTATAGCAAATCGTATGGCTTGCAGTTTTTGCAGTACAATCTTGGCTCTCACATAGTACTAAAAAGAAAGGTTTCAAGTACCTTAACGAAGCACAATACAGTCTGACGGTATATATTCTGCCTAAGTTCATCTTGAACCATTCATCACAACGCGTCCTTCTTTATTAGTAGCTGGTTTTAGCACCGTGCCCATATGAATCACACTAACTTGTTATTGAAAATGCGAAGGCTAAATGAGTAGCACATACCAAGGTATCTCCAATACATGATATTCCGCGCACCTTGTAGCACACGCAGATGCAGCTTTATCAGTCGACGACATTTTCGACTAAAAGATAGACTGTTATGCGTCATAAGAGCAAACAAATAGAACACCCGACACGCCGGTCTCGATAAGTGCCCATTCATCGCTATCAATGGAAGATTCAAAACATTTTGTCCTAAATGTAGGGGAATTTCCTCGAATCAGATCAATCAGTCGCCAATACATTCTGTGCACGGCGGAGTTTTGATTACGCAGTAAAGGCTTCACATGCCTTCAATGTTTTACGCTTAGGGGTACAGGTTCCTACTGGCCGTCAAATCAAGCACGCGCGTGCATAGGTGTGCACCCCACGCTAGCCAAGGTTGACCATCTTGTACATAGATTGCACATAATAATGCGAAACCTTTTTGTGTACACCATCAAGGATCATTGATGATACTAGACTAGCCAACGTTTCTAGACTCCGATTTCTAAGGTCACGTAAACCTTAGACCTTAGATATATGGACTTCAGCATGCCATAAAGGTGAATAAGGGGTTACGGTGATTGACCTCCACCCGAAGGTCACGGGTTCGATGCCGGCCGCGGCGGCTGCATTTCGATGAAGGCGAAATGATAGAGGCCCGTGTACCACAGGTCGGCGAACTCAATAATGAGTCGACTCATACAGACTCAAATCCAGCCATAAGTCTGAGCTTGAGTGAGTGCGGGTGAGTCGTATTTTGGTAAACTTCAGTTCGAATGAGTGTGGCTGAGAAACATTACAGTGAGTCTGACCCTGAGTGAATCCATTTGAGAAAAACTTTGCTGAGTCTTTGTCCGAATGAAGAATGAACTCTACGGGAAAAACATACTCCATAAGTGAGTCTGAAATAGCTCCACATCTTTTGCCAACCTGTGGTCATATCCGTTTAACTTCGGAATTCACTCTCAGCCTCAGGTTTATACTAACCTCTCAGGTTTATGCTCACGTGTACTCACATATGTAGTTCAATAAACTACCACTCGCACCTGAGCTAAATATTTGTTCACCAAACCCAGGATTTCCGGCTGCAAGCTCTTTCACGGGAAGGTCTGATAAGAATATAGGTTATGAGTGATCTTTTTCAATAAAAATGACAGCTGTGAACTGCAACGTTTGATAACTCGTATTCTAAGGTACCAGATAAAACGGCGCCAAGTAGACCACTTACTATGCCAGACATTTGTGTTAAAGGTCATTAAATTCACGGTAGAAGAAGTGATTTATAAGCCAACAGAGCAGTCGACTCATATATATTCACTAAGACACGGATCGAGCCGTGAGTTTGTGAGTGAGTGAATTATATTTTTGTGAGTGTGAATCCTAGTGAATCCAATTGCTAAAATTCAAGTTAGTGACTCTGAGGAAGTTCGTTGACAAAAAATTTGGGGAGTCTCTGTCGAGGGAAATACAAGAGTAAAAAATTATATCTTTTTGAGTGAGACTATAATCTCACTCAAACAAATGTGGAGCTCTCTTATAAGAGAGCTCCAAATTTTTTTCCCGTCCTATGCCGTCTACTGTATGACGTCAGTGCGCGTGAAAAACACTCGATGCATGGTCGAAATTTCTGGAGCATTCTACTATACAACACTCCTCACAATCATGTCGAGGTTTCGGGGTCATAAAGCCATATATTATAATAATATTATGCAGCTTGAGCTAAAAATTTTACACTCTATAATATTGGCTACTGGGGATGCGCATTTCCGGTGACGGCTACTTTATCACCATAACCATTAACAAAAATTGATTGAGATCAGAGACCGCAATAATCTAACTGAATAAACAGAGAGACCGCAATAATCCAACTGAATAAACAGAAATGATTCATACACATCACAACGTTTGCTGTGTGCCGAAAAGAAAAAAAATATAATGCTTGTAAGACTTCATTCGTCACTAGTAAAATGAATTTCGTAATCTTCGTAAAATACTCTTACAGAATCGATATTGCTTGTATTTAAACGATTACTTAGATGCTTCACGACTTAATCAAGCCGAGCGGCCGACCTTCGACCTTTCTATCTTCTCTTCTATAACTACGAGATGCACGTTCCATTAAAGGCGTACATGTCGAAGCGTTCGGGTTGCGTAAATTGGTCGCACCACTTCAATTCACGCTTTTTACACATAACTGACACGGTTTAGCCCTCTCGTTACATAACGCCATTACACAACGAAATTCCACCACTGCAGCGAAGCGCCTTAGTGCAATCATGCTAAACGAGGGATCACCACGAACCAAGGAATTTGGTGCTGAGAAACAGTTCAAATAGTAATGCCACGTTAACGTACGTTTCAAGTGGTATAGCTTGTTTTCCCCAAGTCAAAACAAATGATCTGCCGCGGGTGTTGGCGCAGATACTTTCGAAGGCGGACAAGAGGAGGTGGGAGCGCACAGGCGCTAACATTCAACAACTTTCATTGTTGAAAGTTGTTGAATGTTGAATGTTGTTGAATGGGGTGTTGAATGCATGCACACCCACCCCCTCGACTTGTCCGTATCCATCCGTATCCTTAAGTATCTGTGCTAACTCTGTATATAACCTTGCCAACAAGGCTAGAAGTCTGTCCTTGCTCATCAAGAACTTGCTTGCTTTCTGTAGCTGCATACATGTATGTAGTGCAGTCACTTACAGTCTTCTATTGTATCGCACAACAGCACATTCGTGCAAGCAGCAATTCCCACGTGAGCAGTGTACGAATTTACAGGCTTGCAGACATTCACCATGCACCGATGGAATGCGATTCATTCATGCGATCATGAACAGGAAAAGGTTAGCATATTTCGTCCAGAAAATAATATTGTATTTGCTTATTCCTTCATTCAATCCCATGAACTTCATTTTGTTCTTTCTGTACTTACTGCACAAGCACGCCGATTCGAGAAGCTAATCGACATGTTAGCGATCATTTCGTTAGCGTACGACCAACAACGTGGTTATTTTATATTTTACACATTCAGCGCTTACTTCCTACACAGCGTTTGTCCGGTTCTTGGTCGATTTATTTTGTGTGGAAATAACAATATAAGTAAAAGTTCAATAATACACAAGCCATGACAGTGGCGTGTGTCATGGCTTATACCATCATGTGTTGTCGGCAGAAAGTCGCCACTGATCCTTCATATACCCGCACGCAGGCATGACCATTGGCTCAGTTCCTCAGACTACTGCTGTAGTGACTTTATTTAGCCGTGGATCTCGTGTGTAGTGTTGACGATCTTCTTAGGTGCTCTAAAAACGCACAGTTTCCATCTCATTTTTCAAATTTTAAAAGTGTGTCTCTAAATCAAAATGCATGACTTGGTCGAGAGCATGCGTTTAGAGAAATCCCAAGATTTATGAACGTATTAGAATAAAACCATGGCAACGGCTTTGAGTCAGGTGTTTATTTCTTTCAAGCACCATCTACGTTATATATGCACGTATTAATCAAATATATATGGTAAATTACCTATAGCAAGCGAATAGGAGAACCTTCATTGTTGTGCAATAGTGATAAGTTAATAAGGTATATGTCTTACCTTGTCCTAAATCATTTCTGAGGAGTATGGAAGGTGTATGTCTACAATGTCAATAGGTTCGAAATATTTACATTATGTCCCACCCTTAAAGGCAGCTCAAAGCAACACCATATTGTTGTCGACAACACAACATCTGCTCATACAGAGTGGAACATTATCGCAATAGGTGTTATCGTACAGCTTAACGCAGAAGCGTCATACACTGTGCGAATCCCTCACACTACGATTTATGCGTTCGTCTTTTGTTCCAGGTTTCATCCTGTCTTCTTTGCGCAGTTTAAAATTTTTACTAAAGTGGTTTTATAGTGTTTTCCCACAAACTCAGTTTTGTTCAGGACGTTGTAGGCAATGATACAATCTTGACGCACCCAGAAATGGCTGAAATGACACCACTCTTAATGACCTCCTTTTGCCCTATGAACAACTTGTTATTTCACAGTACAGAGCTCTCTTGCGTTCGAGTAAAAATAAAAATTTGCACGCGTTAATAAGGCGCACTCATTGAAACACTGCATAATTCCCTGTAATGGTGATATGGATGCAGTCATTTCGGATAGTTAAACATTTCCACTATAGCAGGCAGAGAATACCTATAATAAGAACACATTGAACTACATATGACCACAGAGCAAATTAGTGAATGGGGTAATTACATGTCCGCTGTTTTGTTTTTGTGTTACTCAGCAGCACATAACGGTGTTTTGTCGCTGTTTTGTTTTTGTTTTACTTAGCGGCACATAAATGTGGTTAAACACAAATGCACCATCAAAAGCGTGCCAGCAACACGTGTTCCCCAATAATCGAAATTATCTCGATCGTTGGCT